ATTCATGCTAACATACAATGGAAATTCCCATAGACAGGCTAAGTCAGTTTGTGTGCTGCTACTAATCTAATCAGAGGCCACTGACCAGTTTTTTGATACAGTTTTTGCCACAGAAACAGGAGCAGGCCCACCTCCTCTTAGTGGAGCTGCTGCACTACAGCACCAGAAATCTGTCCTGAGAAGCCACAGCATGCATGACAACATAACAAGTCATCACTGAGAATGACCTGCAACAACAAAAAAAATTATATTTGATTATGAGTAAAATAAAAAGCGATTTATTGGAAAGGAGTGCCATTACTGACACTAAAGTCTCAGTGTGACTGTGTCTGTGTGTAAATGTTAAAATGCAGCTTAGTACAAATAATCAGTATTAATGGTTCATGTTTCCAGCAGCTCTGCAGGACGGACACACAAAGGTCACCAGTGCACAGATGCATTTTTATGGACTCGCTGAACGAAGCATCACGATTGAGAGCCACTTTTCTTCTTCTAAGAAGTGGAAGATCTTCTGCAAAGAAAAATGTGAAGAAGGAAATATTTTAATTGAAACGCAGCTCAACAGTAATCAACATGGCAGATACAGCACTGAATATAGATATGAATATAAATATATTTTCTCTGTAAGCATCAGAAGGCTCATCAAGTCTGACTCAGGACGGTACACCTGTGGTCTGGGACGATATCCATCTTCATACCAGTTCATACATTTTGGAATTGTTGTTGCTGAAGGTGAGTTTCAACTTTTTTTTGGAGTTTTGAATAAAATTTTCTGTATTTCTGCCTTTTGTGCAGATTTTTTTTTGGTATATGAATTATTTATTGACTTAATGAAATATTATTAAGTCCCACATACTCTCTTTTTTTTCTTCAAAAATCTGGAAACTGCAGAACTGCAAATCTCAATATAGGAAGTATCTGATAAGGCAAACAAAATAAGACAGGAGACAATTTCAGGCACAAAGGAAAACTAACATACAAAATACCACAGGAACATTTAACACACAGCTGAAACACACAGCTACATTTAGACACGGGTACAAAGGGCTACATTCAGAGTGTCCACACGTTCACTGACCCACACACAGCGCAACATCAGCGTTCACTACAGAGCAAAGTCAGAGAGCGGTTCCTGGGATGATGTGGAGTGTGAGAAATGAGGATCTAACACACAGAACACACAAAAGTGAGCTATTAATTTAACTGACCAAAGACCAAACATAAATCCAAAACAAAGTCCAAGAATGAAAATGACGAGACTCTAACTAGAAACAGGGAGAATAGTACAATGCAACAAGGGATGCAAACTTAGGACACTGACAGAGGTGATGGGAAGTGAAAGAACAGCTAAATATGGAAACAGACATGTGACTAAACTAAGCTCAGAGGAAAGACTGTGAAGGAAAACACAGCAAACATCAAGTAAATACACAACATGAAAACATAGAAAATCCAAACTAAGAATCAGAGAATATTTAAAAATAAACTGAACTTAAAAGTCCGACAGCACAAAACTGAGTCAAAGACCCAGAACAGTAAAATTTCAATTTCAATTTCAAAACTGCCTTTTTAAAAAATA